TATTCTGTCGACGAGGCCATCGTTTCCCTTTCCACGAGAGAGGCTTTCGAGAGACACCTACAAAATACGCGGCGATATCTCGTCGCTCAGGAGACGAACTCGCCACGGCACATTCGACGACTAATTTTACGAGAGACGTGGAAATTTCACGGAGACGTCGATTCGCTAGCGAGATACGAGCAAGTACGAGAGACGCAAGTTACCACCCCTTTCATTCGCGATCATCGTCAGCGGCGTTCGAATCGCAGACGGAGCGTGCTCGCGCGCCTTCGATATTGTAACGACTTAATTTCGAGGATAATTAAATTTTAATTGGTAATACGAGTCGATTAAGACGACCGATGGGTATCTCGATCCGCCTTCGGTTGCCGGTCTGGCCTCCGTTTAGTCGCCGGTCCGGCAAATTTCGGACGGGAATGAGGATACCGGAGCCCCGTTCGAGAGACCACGCTCCGGAGAGAAAAGGGTCGAGGGAAAATAGTCGGGGTGAAGAAATGAAAAAAACCTTTCGAAATTAGGGGAGAAAAGAGGAGGGGGAAGGGGGGAGGAAGGAGAGGCAAAGTCGATTCGTCAGGACGTCGCCGTAATACTGCAAGCAGCCAAGCAGCAGGGTTATTAAATTTCTAATTAGTCGAATATTACGGGTACAGCGTTAGTCGACTTGGCGTCTTCACGGTTCCGGCCACAGAGCGTTTGCAGTTTGCGTGCGCGTTTACGTGCACCAGCGTGCGTTTAGTCGCGCGTTTGCCTAGCCTCACGTGAGTAGGCACTCACACAGCCTTTATGCCGGCGTTAATACATCATGGATTTCATTACGCGTGCCTACGGCTTTCCGAGCGCGGCCAAGCCGTGTTTCTAGTCGCGAATAATTAGCGAACATCGCCTCCCCTTCCTCCAGCATCAGCCGCTTGCGTTTGCTCCTAGAAGGCTCGCAGAAAACGGAGAATTTACGCCGCGCCTTCTTTGTACATCGCGAACCGTTTCTCGATGTTTTCGGAAGCTCGCCTCCGTTGGTAGTTCGTTAGCTCGAGTACGAGTGTGAATTTTGAACGAGGCACCATGAAATTCACAGACAGGACGAGGCTTTGTGCCAGGAGACTGTAAATCTTATTGAGACTCAGAACGGATGAATCGATCGGGACCTCTTCGGTCTATAATAGAACGAAGACGAGGTACAAAGGCGATACGGAATCCTCCCCTCGCATCAAAAGCAGCTATTTTAGAGGTAACCGTATCCTCGGATCGATGATTGAACCGTATCAATCCTTGTCGTATCCATTATCGTGGTACAGTACGTACGCGACTAATAAACCGAGCGAACGATGCTCCTCTCCAGATCTTTACTTTTAATTTTGATTCGGTAATGACGAACTCCGCGGGGCTTCCTTCCCCGATGCCCGGGGAACGAGGGACCGAGCACAGCGGGAGTTCATTAAGAAGCGTATTTCCAACGCGAAGAAAGCGGCCTACGATTCCGAATCGCCACGGTCGGATCGAATGCGTGCCCGCGATTTCGCCGTGCTGTTTCTCGCGCCGTTCCGTGTATACATTGCAGTGCAATTCAAAAACGCGTATACCAGGCGTTCCGGTGGCGTTTTTAATCAACGCTTTTTCCACCACTAGAAATCGTTGAACGCGCGGACCGGCCCCCCTGTTTGCCCGTGTTTTGTTACTTTGCCGAAAAATCAAAAGCATCGTGCACGCGTGACGTGCGTTCCGATAATGACGGGGAACAGTTGTAATTTCAAGAGGACAAAGAGCCGGGCTAATTGGCGAAAGTATGCCGGCGTCCCCGTTGCCGCGGCTTTTTCGATAAACGATGCACAGGAACGTCGATATTCGTCCGCCCTGCCGTCCCTTTTCCACCACTGGTCCGCTTCTCTTCGTTGCGAGTCGACCGAACGACGATTGACCGACGCCGTCGTAATTTTAATTACGCCCCTGGAATCCGAGGCGCGATTGTGTTACAGCTTCGCCGTTCCAAGCCCGAAAGGGGACAAACGACGCTTCGAGTATGATGGTTGGTTACCAGCCTGACTGCTCCAACGAACGTTTGTCGTTTGTCCCTGAAATTTCCGCCGAGTCGAAATAATAAACGAGACAAAGGAGGAGAGGGTTTTAGTAACGAGACCCAAAGTGCGCGATCTCGAAAACGCCACCCTAGTCGTGGCGCGGTGTGACATTCGAGGCGAAAGGGGTTCTCTCTCGTAACGAGTGTCGCGAAGGCGAGCCTTCGTCCTTCGAGGATATTCCTTATTTCGCCTGCGCGCGTTAACTCGATAATTACGAGCGGAACAGTCGCGCTGGGCGATCGTGTTACTGAAAAGATATTCGACGAATTTCGGCTCTCCACGGTGCCTCCTTTGGCCAAGGGTAAAAATGCTCGTTTCACGAACACGTTTGTTCTTGTACTTTCACGTGGCTATAGAAAGGTTTCGAGATGCTGGTGGGAGAAAATATGAGAAACATAATTCAAGATAGAGGCTGGTGGCGGGGGACGGAGGTAGAAATTGGCTCGGAGATGGAGAGAAGGAACCGGGCCGAGCTCGAGTGGGACGAGTGTCAGAACGTTGCTTCTCCGGACGAACGGAATAAAGGGTCGGGAAGGAATCGAATTACACTCGGTCCAGTCGCCCCTGCCTTTCGATTTCTATACCGGATCTGCTCGCAAATATTATCCGACGTATCGGCAGACGGACAGCATTTATCAAACTGCGCGCGACCACTCGGACTCGAGGGAGCTCTCTCGGGCCGATTCAATCACCGGATTCCAAGGATTCCAGTTTCTCTTCTCCTCGTCGATCAAATCGATATCGTCTGAATAAGATGTTCGGCTCGCCGCAAGTCTCAATGTTGCATACCCTTTCGACACTCGTTAACGTTTCTTCGCGTATTCTTTTCGAATCGAAATCAAAGTTCGTACTTTGTACGAACACTCACTACGAATGCCCAGATACTTTGATCAAATTTGTGCTCATTTATTAAATTATCTCTATCATTTATTAAATTAATCTTCGTTCTTGTCCAATAACGAACATTTTTCCTCTTCCTGAAAATCTATAGCCAAAAATTGACATATTTGACACAGCGACGATTAAAAACGAATTTCAGCTCCTTGGAAACTCATTAAACGGGGGACCTCATACTTATGCAGATTTGATCTGCGTCGTTCGAAAGTGGATAAAGATGGTATACGGTGGTACTGGCGAAAAGGAAGCTCGGTCAATAGCGCGTTAATTGCGCCGTTTATACGAGTTCATTGTCACCGGAGGAACATCTTTCCGAGTATATATATACATATACTTACGACAGCGATACCGTACGCGAATCCACGCCGCGTCAAAGCCCACCCATGGCGCTCCGATTGAATCAACCTTACGCTCCCCTTTTATCTACGTTTCCAATTCCCCTTCTCTTTCCTCCTTTCTTCCCGGTCTGTTCCGCTCTTCCTTCTCTCTAGTACGCGTTTCTCTCACTTTCCCCTTCAAGTCTGTT